AGAAAAAGAAAAAGAAAAAGAAAAAGAAAAAGAAAAAGAAAAAGAAAGGAGTACTTCTCACTTTATCAATCTGGCATAACACTAAGATCAAAATCTGATAAAGATGTTATATGTGAAAAAAATATATATAGGCCAGTATTGCTCATGAACACAGATGCACTTGAATCCAACAATATATAAAAGGGATAATAATAAGTAGGGTTTAACTCAGGAATGTAAAGGTGGTTTAATTTAGACGATCAATCAGTAAGATTCACTACATTAACAGTGTAATGGAATAACATTCTGTGTTCATTTCAATAGACATAGAAAAGGCATTTAACAGAATTCATCACCTACTCAGGATCAAATCTCTCAGCAAAACTAGCTAGAAGGGGACTCCCCCGACCTAACAAAAGGCATCTACAAAAACCCATGGCTGTTACCACTCTTAATGCTTTCTACTTTGGGAAAAAGGGAAGAAGGTCTAATCACACTACTTGTACTCAAGCATTAGACAGAGATACTAGCCAATACAATAATGCAAGCTAAATAAATACAAACGTAAAAACTGGAAGGAAGGAAGGAAGGAAGGAAGGAAGGAAGGAAGGAAGGAAGGAAGGAAGGAAGGAAAGAAGTAAACTTTATGTAGGTGATAAGATTACATACCAGCATATCCTAAGGAATCTGTGAAACAACTCACTAAAACAAGTGAATTCAGCAAGGTAGCAGAATACAAGGTCAACTTACAAAGTTTTATACTAGAAGGTTAAAAATTAGAAAACAAAATTTTAAAATATTCATTTTACAATAGTATCAAAAAACATATTTAAGAATAAATTAAAGGGGCGCCTGGGTGGCGCAGTCGGTTAAGCGTCCGACTTCAGCCAGGTCACGATCTCGCGGTCCGAGAGTTCGAGCCCCGCGTCAGGCTCTGGGCTGATGGCTCAGAGCCTGGAGCCTGTTTCCGATTCTGTGTCTCCCTCTCTCTCTGCCCCTCCCCCGTTCATGCTCTGTCTCTCTCTGTCCCAAAAATAAATAAACGTTGAAAAAAAAATTAAAAAAAATAAAATAAATAAATAAATAAATAAAAAGAGAAAAAAAAATAAGAATAAATTAAAAAACAAGTAAGACCTTTATCTTGAAAGGTACAAAATGCTGCTGATAGAAATTAAAAATCTACAAATGAAAAGATATACCATCTCAAGGAAGAGAAGATTCAATGTTGCTAACATGTCATATCTCCATAAATTAATCCACAGATACCGTGCAGCTGCAATCATTATCCCAGCAGAGTCTTTTGTGAAAATTAATGAAATAATTCTTAACCTTACGTGGAAGTGCAAAGGACCTATATCGGAGCTATCCTGAAAAAAGAAGGACGAAGTTGAACAGGCCACATCACTTAACTTCGCGTCTTATTACAAAAAGCTACAGTGACGGAGACAGTATGGAAGCGTTGTAAGGATCCATGAACAGATGATCGACGTGAAAAAGACACTGCACACAAAGGACTCTCGCTTACGTAGTCCTATGGTTTTCATCAAAGGTCCCAACACAGTCAGTGGGAGGACAGCATCTCTCAAACAACGGTACTGGAAAACCAGATATCCGTATGGAGAGAACTTCTGACCTTTTAGTATCACAGCATACACATAATTTCCGATGTACCACACACCTAAAACCAAAAGCTATAATGGTAAAGCTTTTAGAGGAAACACAGGAGACGAGATTTATAGCTTCAAGACAACGCTAACATTGCTTTGAGGTCACCAATTTGTTAGTTCACAGAAGGTAATAATCATGAAAGAAAAGAAAAACCCTGATATACTAGACATCATCAAATTAATAACTTCTGCTGCTCACAAGACACTAGGAAGACTGTAACAGGAAAGCCACAGACTGAGCCAAATACTCACAAAACATGTCTAACAAAAGGCTTATATCCAGGACATATAAGAAAGTTCCTACAACTCAATGATGAGAACACGTGCATCCCATTTACAAACAGGCAAAGGACTCAAAAAGACACTTCAAAACAGAAGATGCGTGGGGGTGCCAGGGTGGCTCAGTCAATTAAGTGACCCACTCTTGATCTCAGCTCAGGTCATGATCTTACGGTTCGTGGGATCTGCACTGACAGCGGGGAGGGAGCCTGCTTGGGATTCTCTCTCTCCCTCTCTCTCTGCCCCTCCCCTGCTCACACGTTCTCTCTCTCAAAATAAATAAACATGAAGAAAACAAAAAGACACGTGAATGGCCAGTAGGTACGTGAAATGCACACATCATCATTAATCATCAGGGAAATGCATATTAACACCACAAGAAAATACCAATATACAATGAGGAGGGTTAAAATTCAACAGATTGAGAACATCAGACACTGATGACGACACAGAGCCACCACACCTGGCTGGCACTGTTCCTGGAAATGTAACAAGGTACAATCACTTTGGGAAAAAGTATGGCAATTTCTTGTAAAATTAAGTGCATAGTAATTTAAATCTTAAGTATTTCCTTGAAATAAAAACATATCGTCACAAAATGTATGAAAACCTGTATGAAAATGTTCACGGCAATTTAATCTATAATTCATTTGCAACGAATAAGTAAATTGTGGCATATTCAAGTAATGGTACTACTATTCGGCAATCAGAAGAAATGAACTACTGATGTATACAAACAGTAGGCATAAATCATGTAGTACATGAACTCTCAAAAGAAAGAAAAACAGGATGAAAAGAGTATCAACGTTATCAAGTCATGCCCAATCTAAAATGATCAAGATTTCAGAATCAAAGAGAGACTTTAAAGCACCTATCATAATCATGCTGAATAACACAACATTTGCAATACACGAAAAATAGAATATTTTTCTAGGATAGAGTAGAGTAGATAATATTTTGAACATTTATGTGTTTAAACCCTATGCTAAGCATTTACCATGGATAATCTTATTTAATTCTTAGCAATCCAGCCTCTTACAAATGAAGAAGCTAAAGTCGAAAAATTAGTTCTGTAGGTCATCCAGAGTCACATCACTAGTAGGACTCAGAAACACGCCTTAGGGCTCCTTAACTCACACTAAAGTCAAACAGAAAAGATAAGATCACTAAATAAGTTTCTCATTAACTTTACAAGTACCTCTGTGCTGGTGTGAGGCGAAGGAGGGCTATGCTAAGGGAAGACACCTCAAGAAAATATCAAACAATACAAATTAAACACCTGCTCCCTTGGGATTAGGCATACCACACCTGCAGACCTCACTGTCTTACCTTAGGGAACTGCTTTACAGGAATTAACACTTTCTGTCCCAGCTTCATGTTCTTATTAATCACCACATCAATGTACTTTTCTTCGTCCTTGCCTTCTCCTTTCTGAAACTTTTCTATTTCTGTGGAGGAAAAAAGATAACAATGAAGTATGTGACTTAAACCCCAGAGGTTGGGAGCTCTCACTAGCTCTACTGCGGCATGAAATCAAAGACAGAAATACGGGCCATCAGATCAATATGAGTTTTTCAAGTGACGACACGTTCCCCATTTTACCAATCGTCCCTCACCAGTACAGCAGGAGAAAGGCATAAACCATGGCTCTGACAAGTCCAATCTCAACAGCCTGTGCTAATGAAGGAAGCAAAACGAACCAGTTATAAAACAGACACAAACAAAACGAAATTTCTTGAGGCCTTCTGGAATCCTAGACAGAGGCTGCTCAAATAGCTAAGAAAAGCCAGAGAGTATTCTCCGTTCAGTGTTACAAGGATACGACTCCCTATTTATCAGCTCCTCCTGGCTCTCCAAGGCTCACACCAGCAGGAACTGATTTCTTTCAGATGGCATTAAAAGCCCTGGACAGCTTCTGTCAGTTGACGTCCCCAACCAAATCGACCTTCCTCATAAGAGACACGGATCAACTATACACCCAGGTCTTCCCTAATGTTCCTTTCTCTACCTATAACGTTATTATTTCAATTTCGTACATCTCCTTCAAGATTCAGCCACATCAAACACTATTTTTTACGTGTGACTATCCCTTTCACCAATGGGGCAGGAGGGGAAGAACCAGTCACTTCCGCCTCGATACTCACACAACACTTTACGTACAGCTCTGCTGTAACTCCTAGATGACGAGAAAATGTGGTTCCTCCATACTGTATCTCTGTTACAGACGATGTTTGTGCCCCCCATTCATATGTTGCAATCCTCACCCCGGATGTGATGGTCTTAGGAGATGGGGCTCCAGGGAAGTGATCAAATCAGGAGGGTGGTGCCCTCATGAAAAGGATTCGTGCCTTGTGAAAAAGAGCCCCCACACCTCTTTCACCCCCACCGCCACATGAGGACACGGCAAGAAAACTGCCATCTGTGAATCAGGAAGTGAGCCCTCACATGACACTGAAAATGCAGGCATGCTGATCTTGGACTTCCAGCTTCTAGAACTGTGAGAAAGAAACTTGTGCTGTGTCCACACTCCCCAGCCTACGGTATTCTGCTATACATCCCAAGTGGACCGAGACATTCTCCCACTGGAACATAAATTTTACATAAAAGTCTGTTTCTTCCTTCAACGAATGTCTACCACTAAGCACACACTCTGTGTACCTTCCAGATCTTGGAAAATATCAGTATGCGGTTTCTGCTCATTGCTGCCTGTAGCGTTTGGCTGCTTCAGAAGAACACCAACAGGTGCTTGAACGAGCGCTGGCTGAGTGGGTACGCGCACTGTTCCCCCCACAGGCCGGGCACAACCTATCCAGCACGGAGAAGGTCCAAAGACGGCGTTGGTTGCACAAAGGGCACACACCTTCGTTCGTTTTGCTTGCGGGGCTAGGAATACCAGTATTTAAAATAGGCCACAGTCAAGACATGATTCAATCCTCAGGCAAACAGGAAGCTCAGAAAGGTTACTTTGCTAATAACAAACGATAAAGGTAGGATTTCTCTCCAGGTTTGTCTAACTAGAAAGACAGTGTGCCACTGCAGGCTCGCCCACCACGTTTTCTGTCATTTGAGACAGAAAATAAGATTTTCATGGCACCTCAGGAGAAAAGGAGGATCTGCTTACATCTGGAGGCTGCCGTCACCACTGAGGAGCCGGGTGGCAGGGACGCCTCCTCGCGGTAATTGTCCATCCACCTACCCCTTCATTCCGTTCATTAGCACTAACCCCCCAGCTGTCTTACTTGTATTCAGAGCTAGACCTGATCTCTCGCCTCCACGGTGACAGTCTTGACACCTATCACGACAGTTCTGAATAAGGTCCTCCTCACCATTTTAACAAGTGTCAGAATAAATTGTTCCTTAACAATGCACGGTAGAAAGTCAGTGTATATGTGGGACGCAATGAAAAATATATATCTGCCCTTTGCCCCAAGTTCCTGGCACAGACCTCCTAAAACCCTACAAACTTCCTGAGTGATAGGAGTGCATTTTATCATTCCTAACAAGCCCCTTTCAGCCATACCTGCCTTTATGCTAACGAGATGACTCTTGGAGGAAAAGGGGGCTGCTTGCCAGAAAAGCCAACCATGTGGAAAAACAAGCAAGGGCCAAGCTGGCACGTTCAGCACTCCCACCTGTGGGGGCAGAAGAGGAGCTAGAAATGGAGTTCGATCACCAATGACCAATGATTTAATCAACTGTGTCTGCATCACGAAAACTGTAAAACCCCCTCAACAACAGAATCTGGGGAGCTTCCGGGCTGGTGAACACAACCACGTGCTGGGAGGGTGGTGTGCCTACAGAGGGCATGGGAGCTCCAAGCGCTTCCCCCAACACCTTGCCCTGGATCCCCTCCTTCTGTTTGGCTGTTCCCGACTTGTAGCCTTTAGAGCAAACCATAACGGTGAGTAAAATGCTTTCTTGAGAATCCTGTGACTCACTCTAGCGAATTACCCGACCTGAAGACAGGTCACGGAACCCCCAAACTTGCGGCTCGTCAGACGGCAGTGTGGGTGGCCCGGGCACCCCACCTGCAGCTGACCTCTGAAGTGGGGTGGCCTTGTGGGATGCGGGCCTCACTCTGCGGGGTCTGCCCTACCTCCAGGAGTCGGTGTCAGCACTGAATTGGATCGAATTGCTGCACACGCAGCTGGTGCTGGAGAATTGACTGGTGTCAGGAAACCCCATACGACAGGGATTAATAAGGTGGTGGGGAGGAAGATGGGGGCAAGCAGGAAAAGTCCTGAAGACAAAAAGAACGACTGAGAGAAAGGAAAAGACATCAGCTCTGCAGCTTCTGACCAAGGCGTCCAAGAATCAAGATTAATACGAAGCCTCCAAATAAACTAATAGATTATTTTGTCTGCTTTCTTGTGTTATCCTATGTTTTGATCCTGGAAACTGACTCAAAACAGAATCTGTATGGGAACAATGTGCATGAAAATAGACGGGTGGGAAATGCAAAGACGCACTTAGATAATCCTTGTTAACTGCTGTTGAGAAAACCTTTTAAGAGTACTTTTGACTTTCTTCTCTAAAAGTACAATATATACATTGGTAAAAATTTAAAACGGTGCAACAGGATATAAACTTAAAAGAAAAGGTTTCTCCTATACCAATACTCCAGAAGTAACGATTATAACAATTTTATATACTCTTCCAGAAGTTTTCCACAAATAAACACATATGCATATGCCCATATGCACACACACGCGCACACATATGCACACACACATGTGCGTGCGCACGCACACGCACATGGGGTTTGGAAACTAGAACTACTGGTGGAAATAAGCTAGCCTAGTTTTGTTTTCCTCAGTAAAGAATAAGTCACACTTTATCTGCTCCATCGAGTATAACAATTCAAGACTTCAGCTTTAATTAGAAGAAAATTCATTCCACATTTTTACTTATGCATTTATGGTATAATTGGAAATGCCTTTAGCATAAAAGATTCAACAAAATTAGATATACTGAAACTTTGTAGGAAGAAAACAAAAAACATTTAATGAACATAAATGTTCATTAATGTAAGTGTAATTACCTGTTTTTTTTAATATCTATTTTTGAAAGGGAGATAAAGAGGGAGAGGGAGACAGAGCATGAGTGGGGGAGGGGGAGGGAGAGATGGGGAAACACAGAATCTTAAGCAGACTCCGCACTGTCAGCACAGAGCCGGACACAGGGCTCAAACTCAGCGAACGCTAAGATCATGACCTGAGCTGAAGTCAGACGTTTAACCGGCTGAGCCACCCAGGCGCCCCGTAATTACCTATTTTCAAATAACACTGTATTTTTATGATTTGTGAAAACTTATAAGCATAATATATAATTCCATAATCAACATTCAAATGTCATTCCTTGCATCAATGATATGAAACAATTTAAGTACCACGTAAAATCATAAAGGTTAAAAAATTAGAAAAAAATTATTTGAGATACACCTATGACTTTGAAAAGGCAAATAAATATTTAAAAAATATATGCTACGTAATTTCCTTCTCTAGACAGTCAACTCTGAAAATCTTATGTTGCTAAAATATCTTGCTACCTTAAGTAAGCTTTGAATTATGTTAATATATAATATTTCACTGTTTAAGACTTATCTGAAAATTGTTGAAGCCTGATGCCACACCACATGCATGCTGGTCTCCAGGTAGTGGAACTAAAACACCACACAGCAATAGAAGCAGCCAAATCCCGTGCCTGGGGTCAAACACACCTCACTAAAATCATGGCCACTATACTTGTCCAAAGCCCTCCAGCTACCAAATTCAAATTGCGCGCGCGCACGCGCGCGTGCGAGTGTGTGTGTGTGTGTGTGTTTTCTAGGCACTATTCATTCAATCAACAAGTCTCGGTTTTCCAGCTGATTGAGGATTATGATGAGTAGTTTGATGTTTTCATGAAAAATCATGAAATTACATTTAATAAACAATGCAAAAAAAAAAAAAAAAAAGGCAGGGGTATTGTACGTGATCTATGAAATCATGGAACAGCTTTCTGGTATTTATGCCTGTCCCTAACTGGGAGTTTTATTTTCCAAAACCCAAGTGACCACCTCACTGATCTTCTCTAGGGAAGGGAAGAGAACATAGCCGACACCACCAAGGTGGACACAACCTTTTAGTTAATTGTAGCCAGTGAAGACCAACCATAGAGAAAATCTAATCAGGTTTCTGAGGTGGAATGCATGGGGGACTTGACTTTCACTAATCCCCAGATTACATTTGTTACCACACAGTTCGATGTACCAATGCCATCTCCCAGCTCAGAAACAATAAGCAAATGTGTGATTAGGTTTTCGATGATGTCGGGGATTAAAATGTTATCTTTTCAAATGCTTGACATCAAATTTCTGTCAGCCCAGAAATCTAGTGTCAGTTAGAATGTCTTTTTTATTTGTTCATTTCTTTTTTTGTGTGTTTTTGCCTTGGGCTAATACAGAGCT